GATTCTAGGACTGCCCAACCGACATGTGACTTACATAGTTGGCACTACAGTCACTCCCATAGCTGCACAATACGTGTCAATGTCTTATAGCTAACTCAAAGCTTGCTCATCTCTTATCCTTAAAAGCAGCTTCTTGGGGATATAATTGATGGCATTTTTCATTAATATTTTCCACAGATTGATGCCCTGGCAATATTCTATCAGGATTTCACTAACTTTCATATACACATACTTTCACCAATACTAGAAAAATACGTAGTGGTGGTCATCATCAAATGTAGCATTTGTAGCCAATCACAATATCAATGATATCTGTTCAAACTCAACAGAAAAAAAGCACACAATGTGATTTAAATCAAAAATGTTTAAAATAAAATGATCACAGAACAAAATGAAAATAAAAGAATAAAAGAAGAGAAAAAGAATAAAAGAAAACACATAACATTACTTTTCATCTTCAATTCCAATTAAGACAAATTAAAAGGGGAAACACTTTTTTTTACAGGTTTTTAAAGTAAGCCTATACTTGCTAAAAAAAGACAGTGATAACAGACGCAGAAAACAAACCCCACAATAGACAGTCTCTAGATCAGTTCAAAGCATTTGCAAATAATTATTTTGGAAGAAATAGCAGCTTTTCAAGTTCTTCAGAGGTTCAGCACTATTTCCCTTTAACAAGAGCAAATGTTCTTACCACACCAAATGTGTCAATCAGCTGACAAATGCAAATGCCACATCCAACAACCGGTTATTGCTCACTACAATGTTAGATTGCATCAACATAAGTGTAGATTCTAAATTACAAAATATGACAGTTTCAATTTAGTTTGCCTGATCAATTCCCATTTCAAACATTATAGCAAAACTGGAACAGCAATAATCAGAACTACAATAATTAGATTTCAGTCCTATGAAAATGCACTGAAGGAACTAGGAATGGTTAGCTTTCTGAAGAGAAAACTGAATATGAGACCATTCTAGCGTGCAAGGCACAGAATAATGATACTGATGGGAAAACAGATTCCAATTGAATATTAGAAAAACCTTCTAGACCAGTGGTTCTCAACCTGTGGGTCGGGACGCCATTTGGGGTCGAACGATCATTTCATGGGGGTCGCCAAACAACGCAGTCTGCCATTTTCCCCCCCTTTTCCTTAGCTGTGCTACTCCCTTTTATTCTATTGGCTTTTGAAAGGCAATAGAATAGAGTCTCTTGAATAGAGTCTAATTCTTGGCTTTCAAAAGCCAATAGGAATTGTCCAGGCTGTCTCTGCCCTGCTGAGCCCGCCAAAAGTCCCATTCTGCAAACGGTGCTGCACCAGTTGAGTAGTCCTCGACTTACGACTGGTTGAGTAGTCCTCGACTTACGACCGGTTGGGGGTCACGGCATTAAAAAGGTTGAGAACCACTGTTCTAGACAGTAGGAGCAGTTCAATGATTAAATCAATTGCAAGCACACAAATCAATTACACAGCTCCTCTAGGTTAGATAGTTCAAGCAGACAACAACAGCTATCTGTAGGGGATATTTAATTTGGATTCTTAGACTAAGCAGGGATTGGCTTCAATTGTCTAAATGGCCCCATTCCAACTCTGTGTTTTACTCAGTCTTTAATCAAGAACGAATTGTTTTGTGTAGATATGTGACATCTTTCTGTAATCTTTCAATGCTGGCTTCTAATGTCCAGTAGTCTTCTTTTCTGGTGTTTATAGCTATTCTCCAGATTGTTTTATCCTATCTTAATTAGAATAATTGGAGGCTATGCAATTCTTTTGAAAGTCTGCTTGTTGAAGATTTTTTTGCCCCAATTCTAAACTCAAGTAATTAAATTTATGCCACTTTTATGTCTCAAATTAGCAATCTTATTTTACTGAAATTAGAGGTTATATGGCTGACTCATGATAAGATAAGCACTAATTTTCAATATTAAAATGTAGGAATAGCAGAAGTTTGAAAATTGAAATATGCTGTAAATCACATGCACTTGTATTTTCCTACTTCATGGAAGAAATTATGGACATTTTAGTACATGTGGTATAGTAGCTACAGTAAGGCAGTGCAGCACTTTGGATATGATGGGTAAAGGGGGCTCCAGAGCTTGCTGGGTGTTTATGTACCTTCTCTCAACATGAAACTATCTGCCAAAGCTTCACTGAAATCCTTTGAAAACATGTGATCAAAGGAGCTATTTCTATGTCCTACTTGTGTGCCTAGAACTTTCCAGCCAGCAGCTGAAGTTCACATATCTTGAAAGTTGTTGAGGTTGAGAAATACTGAGGAATCCAATGGATCTTTTGTCCCAGCATTAGAAAACTTGTGGCCCTCCAGATGCTATTGAACTACAACTCATCCCTCAACATTAGCTTTGTTCACTAAGTGAGATTGTTCCTTTGGAAGAGCTGGAAGATAAAGAACTGGATGTTTCTGTCCATGTGGATTACCAGATGTATATAAAAAAAGAAACACCTAACAATCCTTCCTTATTCCCATTGTGTTTAGCCTCAATAGTTATCTGAAAACATTGCTTCTTGCTAAAGCCTCAACAGAATCATCATGAATATTTAGTTTTATATATAACTTTTCCACTAAGGAAAATGCCAGAATGACTAATAATAATAAATACAGATAAAATAAAGTAAATCTACTATTAAATGTAGCAATTGTAAAGACAAAATGAAAATAATTAGTGGTGAAGAATTAGTGACATTTTTTTGTAATACAAATTTTGGATATTTGCATTCTCAAAATATTTCACTTAATGCTTTAAAAATACTCATCTAAGAAAATGTTGTAACTCTCATGGTATACAACACCTTGGTAAAATCGTTAGTCACTATTTCAACACTAAGCAGTTGAAGTGTGGTCTGTGGTTGTATTATTACCTCAAGCTTAACAGTAATTTAACATTATTTTGAATTCTGATAACATAAAAACCATATATATATATATATATATATATATGAAGAAAGGGTCATTATATATAAATGACCCTTTCTTCAAACAGCTTAAATATTATTCTTTAACTTACCTCAAAAACAGCTCTCAACTTACTTCTAAGTTTTTGAAATGAAATGGTGTGATTGTATTTTCAAGAAATACTTTAAAAGAGCAATTGTTCCTAAATTAGTGAGCTTCATTTTTGAGGGCTGATTTAATTTCAGTTCTAATTTAATATCTTGCACTACATGGTTTATTTATACAGCACCCCCAATTATGTGCCATTATAACAAACCCCACATATTAAAAAAAGTACCAAAGGAGGCTACAATCTAAAAAAAAATGGGAAAGATATAGAAAAGACTGGAATCAAATGAAGTTACAAAGACTTCAATCTGTTAATTACCTCATGCCAATGCTCCCACATGGCAGGGCACATAATAATGTTCTTAAATTATAGTCAGATAGTTCCCAGCTTAACTTAATGATAGCACTTTAATAGTTTGTCCCGTTATCAAGGGAAGAATGTTCAAATTTGGATTCCTGCACTATGCAAGTAAACGTTTTGAATGGTTCCAGTAACATATGTTAAAATGTTTTAATATCTTTTTCTAAAATAAGCCCAATATGCCAGGTGGAAAGACTAGCATGAAAGCACGAATCACCAAACAAAGGAGGATGAAAAATCCCATGCATACAAGGGAGGAAAAAACAACACTAAGTTCCTTCTCTGGTGGACTTTCAATAATAATTTTCAACTTGCTATTAAAATATTGCTAAACCTATATAAACATGCTTCAGTCAAGTGAGCTAAACTATCACAATGTGGACTTACTTTAAATTGGGCATCATTATCTATTGTAAACCAAGCTATAGAAGCTAATTTGCTTTTAAGCCATATATTTCAAATGCAAATATATCTAATAACCAGTTTAATACATATTAAATACTATATTTTATTCTAATCTGTTCTGCATTTCATATACATCTTAATAACTAAACAAAGCTGATAAATCATTTGCTAGTTTACTACAAAAAAGCTACTCAAGACTCAAGTCTCCTCAATCTTCAGAATAGGCAGTAGTTACAAAATGTGATGTTAAATCATGCATCTTAACTTACAATAAATAACAGTTAATTCAGTGTTCATTAATATAAATTACTGATTTTTTATATATTGTTACACATTACAAGACTATAATTAGAGAAATGTCAGTTTAGTAGCAGTGGTTCATTTTCTTAGAACATCATAGGAGTTTTCTGAATATAAATGACCATGACTAAAACAATGATAAATGATAAACATATCATTTGTATGGGATCATATTAGAAGCTGATATGACCAATATTTCATCATCCAATAATGACACAGTACAGCTTACATTATTACTCATCAGATTGCTTAAATGCCATTTCCCACAACCTCATTAATTACACTTTAGAACTGTCTTTAACAAGTTTTCCTAAACTCTGGAAAACTAGAGTCTGAAATGCAGGATGGTGAAGCATAACAAGGTAACTTTTACATTTTAGCTCCCCTACATCTACTTTAATAAGTGATAGCACAAGCACCTGACTGCTTTTCCAGTGCTTTTGCACTCACTCAGGGCAGCATTATACAAATCTTACCCATTTCATATTGTACCTTTGCTGACTTTAACTCATTATCCACCCTGTTTGCAAAATGGGAGTGCTTTCATCCCACGGGAACGGAGGGCATTCAAGAAACTTTACTTCCTGCCATTCCTTCTTGTCATCCAATGGGGAACTCTGAATCCATATACTAAAGGAAGAAATCCGAGATGCTAATCCCTTGGACCAGTTCTGCCTCACCCATAGACTGTCAAGTTTTCCAACTTCCCGCGGAGAAATGCACCCTCCAGGGACAGCCAGACGCCAACAAGGCCACCCTTCTAATCCCCTATGACAATGCATGCAATTGTGAAACAAATCCCGAGCACTGCTGGGTTAGGAGGAAACTTGGGGTAACCCCTGCTGATCACCCATTGCTCAGCGCTCAGCTCCGGCTGCCTCACTGCTCCGGCGTTAAGAGAAAACCTTACCTGCTTCCTCCGGCAAGGATCCATAACTCTATATAGAGTGGAGACCAGGTGATCCTGAGCAGGTTTGCCTTCTCTCGACGGGAGCCCGAACGGCAAGATATCCCGGCGTTGGGGTTTGCGTCGTGCACTCCCCTCTTCCTTTATCCCTCCTTCCCTTTCTTCCCCTCCCTCCTCTCTTTGCTGTTACACCCCTTGAAGCTGCTCTCTAGACAAACCTAGTCCCCGTTCCCATGGTGACAGGTACCGCCTCTCGCAGCACAAGGATTGGCGGAGGCGCTCCCCTTTCTGGGAATCGCGTAGGGCCACGATTGGGCTACCTCAAGACAACCACTTTCGGTTGCGCGACTAGAAATCAAGCAAAGAAGGTGGGTTGCACCGGGGAAGGTACGTGGCGCTAAATAAGAGTGGGCGGTGCTTGCTTTTGTTTTTTTTTTACCTCATTGACGCGCTGCTTTGAGAAGGGGAGCCGGAGGAGGAGCTACGGAATGAAGAGGAGTCAATGGGAGAAGCCTAACAGGTTTCTTTCGGAATCTGAAAGAAGAGGCAGCGAGGGTTCTTGTTTGATTCTGTCGATGGTTTTCCTCGGGGGTGGGAGATAGGGGAAGGTGGGGGAAGGATTGGTGGGAGGATGGGGCAGCCTGTTGTCGAATGCACTATCTAGCATCTGGAATATACTACAGAAACAATATCACCAATTGGAATAACGCGCTAATCCATAGCACTGCAACGAAGATAAAATATCGGGGCTCCCAAATGGGGGGGGGGCTGCAGAAATCCGATTGACCACTGAAAGGAGGGAAACGTGATGTACAAATCTGGGATTTTTGCAGCTCAGATATGGTAGCTCTGCAGCAAGTCATGCTTCATGGAACTCTGCAGAAACTTTTTACTGACTGTGCATCAGAGAAACGACAGTAGTTTAAAGGCTAACACATGTCATGCTGAAAATCTGCTTTTCTCGTTGTCTTGTAAGTAGTGGAATTTCAATTCCCAGTAACGTGGCTGGGAAGCTGGAAGCACCAAGTGGACCGAAGCAAATAGGCATGGATTCAAGTATAGGTAGTCCCAGTGCTTTTTTTCTATTTAAAAAAAAAAAAAGGGGGGTGCCGGAACTCACACATGTCATACAACCTGCCTTGCCTACCCTACAAGGTTCCATCCAAAAAAGGTGCCGGAACTCCGTTCTGAGTGTTCTATGAGAAAAAAAGCCCTGGGTAGTCGGTGACCTGCAATAGTTCACTTGATGACTATTCGAAGTTACAAAAGCACTGAAAAAAGTGACTTGTGACCATTTTTCACCCTTATGACCAGTGCAGCATCTCCATGGTCACATGATTTACATTTGGATGCTTGACAACTGACTCAAATTTATGACACAGTGTCCCGGAATCATGTGATCACCTTTTGCAACTTCTGGCAAGCAAAGTCAATGGAGAAACAGATTCACTTAACAACTGTGTGATTCGCTTAACAAATGTGGTAAGAAAAGTCGTAAAATGGGGCAAAATTCACTTAACAAATTTCTCACTTAACAACATAAATTTGAGGTTCAATTGTCATAAATTGAGGACTACCGACACGTTATATTTGATAAAGTTGTGACAAGGCTGTTGTTTTGCTAAAAATCAGATGAAAGGAAAGGAACTCTTTCTACCTACTCAAAACTAGAAGGAAGTAGGCATAAAAGTCAGCTGATAATTTTGGGAGGAAAATAGGCATGTTTGCCACTTTGATTTATATATAAGATAAGTGGGATAAAAATATAGATTAATAAAGTAATGAAAAATTGGTGAGAACATATAGCTGAAAAAATAGTTGAAAATGAGCAGATTAAAATATTGTGGCATTTCCAAATACAAACTGATAATGTCTTGGCACATAACAACAGATGTAACTGTGGTTGAAAAAAAGGAAGTGTGGATAATTGATATGGCAATATTAGGGGATGGTAGAATAGAAGAAAAAGAATTAGAGACTATCACAAAATATCAAGCTATGAAAATCAGTTTCAAGATTAACCGGCCATGGTAGTCTAGTCGTTATCAGCACACTGGGTGTCATCCCAAAATATCTTGAATGGTATTTAGAAAATATGTGCATTGACAAAATTTTCATATGTCAGTTACAAAAGGCCACAGTGCTTGTATCCACATATAGGCTACAGTGATAAATTACAACATCCTAGTTTCTTGGAAAGAAGATGCATATAAAGGCCAACTCCAGCTAAAAAACTGGAAGCTGTGATTTCACACAATTGTGTGTATAATAGCCGCTGCAAAATTACACAGATTAATTACAGGTAGTCCTCAACCTATGACCACAGTTGAGCCCAAACTTTATGTTATTAAGTGAGAAATTTGTTAAGTGAGTTTTGCCCCCTTTTATGACTTTCCTTGCCACATTTGTTAAGTAAATCACTGCAGATGTTAAATTAGTAACACAATTGTTAAGTGAATCTGATTTCCCCATTGACTTTGCTTGTCAGAAGGTCGCAAAAGGTGATCACATGACCCCAGGAAACTGCAACCATCATAAATGTGAGTCAGTCGTCAAGCATCCAAATATAAATCATATGACCATGGGGATGCTGCAATGGTCATAAATGTGAAAAATGGTCAAAAGTGACTTTTGTAACTTCAAATGGTCACTAAATGAACTGTTGTAAGTTGAGGACCACCTGTACAAATAATGGTATGACAAAGTAGTAACAATGATGCATTGGAATATTTGCAAGAATTACCACTTGCCTGCAAGCAGGAACTGGTGGGACTGCAAAATAGACAAAATTATAGAAAATGAAGAAGATAAAGTACTGTGGTCTTTAGAATTCACACAGAGAAACTGCCACATAATACCTCAGATTTAACAATTGCTGATAAGAAAGACAAAAAAGCCTGAATACTGTAATGCAGGGGTGTCAAACTGCCGGTCCACGGGCCGGATGCAGTGACATGACATCGTGAGTTTGACATGTCTGCTGTAATGGATACCGCAATACATGAAGGCAACAGAATAGAAGAGAAATAACTGGAGAAAAGTCATAAAATGTTAAGATTTCCAAATAGAAGCAGAATGAGATTATGAGATCCAAGATGTGTTAGACTCCCGTATCCAACGGGGTCGTTTACAATACTTGGTATGGTGGAAGGGATACCCTATTACGGAGGTGTCCTGGGGGGGAAGCGGACATCCTTCCGATTGTTGCGGCTCTTCCACTGACGGTATCCCCGTAAGCCGGGGGGGGGGGTTAGCTGCATCATCTGCCATGGTCTGTGATTAATCACACGTTTCTCCTTGTCTTCCAGGTGGAGCCCTGGTAGAGGGGGCTGCCTGTCAAGCCCCGTGGGCTCGACACTGATGGGAGAGGGGAGGGGGACAAGGACAGCACCTGGGAGGAGGCCAGCAACCAACCCAAGGGCAACAGCCCTTCCCTCATTACCTGGACTGACTGAGCATGGTGGTGTGGTTATCTTCTCCACGGTTATACCGCCAAACAGCTGGTCAGCTCCACGGCCGGCCCGTCGAACAGCTGTTCAGCACTGGGAGGCACCAGGAAGCCAGAAGCCTGCCGTGCATCCCGATGAGTAGCTGATCGGCGCAGGGACGTACCAGGCAGCCAGAACACCTGTAGCGCATCCCAAAGAACAGATGAGCAGAGCAGGAAAGCTAAGTAGAGCCGGAAACCTGCAGCACGTCCTGCCTCACTGCTCATATAACTTCGCACACCGGATGCTGGTTAGATGGGTGGGGGTGGGGCCAGGTGGGAAACACTTGTGTAAGGTGCTGGGAGGCGATTGCTCCCAGCACTAACTTTATTTGCTTTGTGCATGCCAGAACATTCCGTGATTAAAGCCACCTGTGAACTCAATTCAACTCAGCATTGTTTCTTGTTGGAGCCAGGGGTGTGGTAAGGACTTCTGACAGTAGGTCCTTGGGAAAGACTTGATAGGTGGATAAAAATGCCAAATCCAGTCTAAACATCTGGCTGACTCTGCAACCAATCATAATAAAAACTGTATTCACTCAGGCTTATTTTAAAGGGTTAAATCTTGAGGATGCCCTAGCCAATTAATCTTTTGTAGTATTTACTTATTTATTTACAAAATATACATAGTTTTTTATTCTTTGAGCCTTCAGGCAGAGTTTAGTTAGCTCTAAATTTCTGTACAGATAATGAAGTGATGCAGAGGGTTGAATGGTTCATTGTCAATTAAATTCTTAGCCCCACCCATCCTATACACTTGCCACCCTTCCTTTGAGCTCTTTTTGTCTCATCTTGTAGAGCAGGGGTGTCAAACTGCCAGCCCGTAGGCCGGACACGTCACGAGGAAACCGTGCCCACCCCATTGCCAGCAATGGGGGAAAAGTTCCGATACGTCGCACGACGTCACATGACATTGCGAGTTTGACATGTCTGTTGCAGAGAGATACTGAAATTCCTATAGTCTCTCAGGCAGAAGTCTAGTTAACATGACTATTTCCTTCTATATAATATCTTTCATAAATGTATTAAAATGTTGGTAGATTCTTTAGATAAGAGGTAATGAAACTTGATACATTCTTTTTCATGACTACATTTTAGTCATTTTAGCCTGCACTTTAGTCACTGTAAAATAAGGAACTACTTTGCCTTTTGAGAGAAAATTATGCAAGAACCTTATAAAGATAAGTTTAAATTCTCCTTTGCAAAGGTTCCCTATAAGGAATTAATCCAATTTGAGAGTTCATATAATATACTGAATATAAATTAAGCATGCAGGGTAAACTTACACAATTAAAATGCATTGGCCTGTTTGTATTTTAAGTTGTATGTGAAGACATTCACTATATGATTTATTCATTAAATAGTAATACTATTAATTATATCGGGGTGGAATCAAGAATTTCCTGCCTGAACTCTTTTTTTTCTTTCAACCGTGTGGCTGAAGGAATTATGAATTGTGAGAGCAGAAGAAAATGAAATGCAAGGGTTACAAGATAGTTTCAACAACTTCTTACCACTCCGTGCTACCACCTCTTTGAAGAAATAACATACTTATATTAAGATCCTTAACATTATTCTGCAATAAATGCTATCCCATCCATAAAATACCTAAGCTTAATACTAACTTCTTCAGGTATTATTATTATAAGGAAGGGAAAAACATTTTGTCAATAAT